ACGAAGTACACTGCTGAGGGGAGCAGTGGGCGGGTCAAGAGAGGTCTGCCACGCCATGTGGTCACCTCCAGGGCAGGTGGGGATCGAACTCATGCGCAAGGGCTTTTGCTTCTTAGTGCTGTGCTTTAACCCGCTGCGCCACCAGGGAGGGCCATAAATCACTTTTTTAAGAAAGAGAAAATATTAGTACTCAGCCTGGCTCCGAGTACAGAATCCTCATACACCACTGTGGGGCCAGCGACGAGGTGGCTAAGATTTACATACAAGGCAATGCTCAAAGTGACCTCTGAAGGTGGCCCTGGGTGAAGAGAGAGACAATGGAGCTTCAGGACTGCGTGACCTGTCCACCTGAGGCCCCTGGGGCATCCCCTTCACATCCTGAGGAAAGCTGTCAGCCACAGTTGGGACTGTGGATGGCAACTGCTGACCTGTTCCTGCCTTTTGACTCTGGCTCAGGACCAGACTAGCTCAATGACGAGAAGTCAGTGTGGCCCCTCATGCAGTGATGGGTTTCTAGAACTGCAGCTTGAAATGAGCGTGAGATGGGGCTCAGAGGATTGCCCTGCTGACACATGAAGTAATTTCCACAAGGAAGAGAAATGTGATGACCCCTCTTCCTTTCTCTCGTGTGTATTTTATTGACTTGCTGCCCTTACTGGATGAGCTAAAGCAACCTCGGCCTCCTCCAGCAGAGAAGGACAGCAAAGCCATGTGTGTTGAGGGCACCACCCCACTCCAGCGCTTACCATCACCTGGACCTACAGGCTACAGCCCTGTCTCACCTCACCCTACTCCCTCCCCATCCAGCTCAGTCATTCCCTGCACCTACCAGGCCACAGGCTGTGCACCCTCTGCCTGTGCACAGTGTCCCGTGCTGACTGCCTGCCTGGTCCCAGCCCCAGGGGCCCCAGTCAGCCCACAGCAGGGCCTGGGCAGCACTTTCATAGAGGAATCTCGGGAGTGTCAGCAGGTGCTGGCTGCAGCTGTGAGATTTTGGGTAAGTTACTCAATTTCTCCATGCCCAGTTTGCAAAATGAAGTTTAGAAACTTCAGTCACAGAGAAACAGGGAGCCTTTAAAACAAGACGAGAACACTGTATTTGAGCCTCGTCTGAGGGCCTCTAGTAAAAATTCTTGCCCAGCGGAGGTGAGAGTAGATTTACTGTGTCATCCTCCTTCCAGCCAACTGCCCTGCTAGTGGTCAGAGGTATGCACCTGTGCTGTGCCAAGCATGACCAAGGGCACAAAGGTGAAGCTGCTGAAAGGCTCATAAGGGCGCTGAGCTACTGGCCTCGGCCTCCAGCGCAGAGCCAGAGCATGCTCTAACCAGGTGAGCTGGCCAGGGAGCACCCCGAAGGGCTCCTGCCCACTGATGTGTTGCAGCCGCACCTGCACCTCAGCATGGCCAGGCCCGTTCCCCTTCACCAGCACAGTGCCGTGACTCACCTCTGCTGCTCCCTCTGCCCCCAGCCACGCCAAATCTAGGCGGGGACCTAAGCCACTGGGCATTCCGGACTACGTCTTCTGCGGGTGAACTCTGAAGTGCATTTGGGTTCAGCTTGTGTCTCTCCTGGGAGCTACTCCCTCCCCCAGATTGTAGGGGGTCTCAGGCCTCCAACTCACTTCCCTTGTCTTCCATGCATTCCCCCAGATTCCCCTTTGGCCCAGCTTCCCCCAGTCCTTACAACTGGAGCTGGTTAGGTTTCCAGCCAAGAGAGCCCTATGGTCAGGAGGCTGCTACCTCACTTGCTAATGGAGCAGATGCAGTTGCTGCTTTTACTCCATTTACTCATTTACTCCATTTACTCATTTTTTCAAAAGCTGGATGGGAAGAGGACTTAAAAACATTGCCTGGGGAGGTCACAGGAGCCCCTCTGTGGCCTCTCCTGTTCTCCATGGCCCTCCTCACCTAGCCTAGAAGCCGCCTCAGTGCATTATCACCACTGCCCAGGGCCAGCCTAGGAGAATCAGATCTGCTTGGGGATTGTGGAGGAGGGTCCCCTAAACACAGCAAAGGGGTCCTAATGGTGCTTTCTTGGTTTGCCTTAAGAGTGAGCACTCACAGGTACTTAGTACTTGGAGGGGATTCTAAAGATACTCTGTGTATTCCTGGCCCTGGATGTGGTAACACTACCCCTCTTTCACTAATGTCCCTAATCCTTACATCAATCTTGTAAGGTTTTACTATCCTTGTCAGAAATGGGTTTTATTATTCCAGATCATGAATGGGAGGCTGAGGAGGCTGAGCTAGAAAATGTTAGAACTGTGATTCAATCCCAAAAAGGACTCTGTTCAAGCTAAAGAGCTCACAGACCAGTTTGGGGTTTCCAGGGCAGAAGGCTGGGGTGAGTTGGGAGTGGAGACAGATGCTCTTCTTCATGTGTGTGTGTGTGTGTGTGTGTGTGTCTGGTGTTGGGTGATTCTACCAGCTCCCCTGCTCCTAAACACCCTCTTTGCTCTTCTCTCTCCCAAGTATTTTGATCTGAAATTTCACTTAACCTCAATGAACAGATTTCAAGATGAGGGTCTCAACTTTCCTTGGCTTCCCATCTTGGGGATCCCTGCCCTCCAAAAGTGACACTAGGGAATTACTCCTCCATATTACAAAAGCTCATCAGGGAAGGATTCTGTAGCTCCACAACCACACACCTTAGTTGAACACCTTGTGCCAGGTGTTCACCAGGTGCACTGCCAGCTGCTGTGGCAATTACTATGGCTGAGACCCAGGTTCTGCGCTCAAGGTGCTGAAAATCTGGTAGGAGAGAAATACATGCACAGTCATCACCAACAGATGTGCAGGGTGTCTGGGAAGGCAAAAAAAAGGGCTGTAGGCAAGTGAGTGTCAGTGTGTTGATGAGGCAGGAACAGGGAAGTCTTCAAGAGGCAGCAGGGTTGGGAGTTGGGGGTTACGGGTCTGGGGAGCGGAGTTGAGGAGTGAACTCCCATGCCTGTGGGTCTGTACATCAGTGCTCCAAAACTCATCTGCTCTGCAGGGATTCTGAGTGGTACAGTGGTTAGAGAAGAAACTCGAGCCAAAAAGCCTCAGTCTAAATTGTAGCTCTGCCATTTGCTGATGGTTTGACCTCTGGCAAATTCCACATCCTCTAAGTTTCCTCAAACTTCTGACCTGAAACAA